GCTCAACAGAATGCGAAATCCTCACTCTGTCTGCATCTGGAGTCGGAATGTAGCATTGGCGTCTCAAAATCACTCGCGCGTGCGTGGCTCTCGCCTCCTAGATGCCAATTGGCCGAAACAACAGAGCCGGTCTCTGGAATGTAAACATCCGGAGCCGGAGGGACAGTTTCCTGAAACACGGGGGGTTTGTAGAGAAGAGCGTCAGGGGTTTGACCGTCCCGCCTTGTAATCATGGGGTGATTGTTTTATTCACATGCGCGATTGGCTGCTGAGCATCGCATGTTGAGGCGCCGGGAACGCCTTCTGGCAAACGGTGCCAGATTCTGGAATGCGTCCTCAAGGCCAAAAGCAGTAAAACAGAAAGAAGGAAGGGAAAAAAAAAAAAAAAAAAGAAGGGATTTCTGGCTGATTGCTGACGTCTCTGCTGCAGGGTTTGCCTGCTGGAGTGCAGCGTTCGGGAGGTGAGGACGGTGGTGGCGTCCGTCCTGGAGAAAACTCTGGAGAGCGCACTGCACTTCGGAGACCCGGGCCTGGACAGCCTGACCGACGCCTTGCTGTCGCTGCTGGACAAAGACGTTCCTGAGAACGTGAAAAACTGTGCCCAGTACTTCAACCTCTTCAGTAACTTTACCCAGAGGGTAAATCTTTACTGCTGCGTGAACTTTGAAAATATAAATGAGATAAAAATAAAAAATGAAAATGAGGTCCTCGCAGAGCGTTTTAAAAGTTCCTGTCTGTTCAGGGTTGCGGCCCCTGCCAGCTGCTGTTGAAGCACTCAGCCTACCGTCGGATGCTCATCTTCCTGTTGGGACCCAACAGGCAAAACAACCAGGTATAATTATCGTTGGTATTTCGGTTCTAAAATATTATGATTTTTGACTTCTGCTGCTGAGCGGCGGAAGCTCTGTAAAATGTTCGGTTCAGGGTTGCAGGCGTCCTAAGTTGGCTCTTGTCGTTCTTCCAGAACCGGCGGTGGAGTCCGGCTCAGGCCCGGGAGTTCCTCCACCTCCACAGCAGCCTGGCGCTCATGACGCTGCACTCTGACCTCAGCCCCCAGCGGACCCTCGGTGAGCCACCTTCTGGTTTTCAAATCTCTACCTTCCTTCGTCTCTCGTCGGACGGTCGGTTTTAATTCGTTTCGCTCCCCCTCCGTAGCTCCTGGGGGATCCAAGCTGCCAGCGAGTAGCGTCCACTCCTCCGGCCCGCTCCTCCCACTGCACTCGGACATTCTCGCCTCTCTCTTCACTCCGGAGGGACAGCCTTACCTTCTCGAGGTTAACAAATCATCTTTGACTTTGCTGAATCGATCCAGAAAGTGTGAAGCTCTCTTGACTGATGCGCTGCCGTCTTTCCCCTCCAGGTGATGTTTGCGATGCGCGAGCTGTCGGGGCCGCTGTCTCTTCTGATAGAAATGGTCACCTACTGCTCATACTGCAATGAGGGCTTTTCGCTGGGAGTGCTGCAGCTACTCAAGGTACGCAATCTTTACAGAAAAAAAAAAAAAAAAATCTGACGCCAATTTAGTAAATATTGACATAAAACCTTTAAAACAGAGTCAGATGGAGACGGCTCCGCCTCACGAGCTGAAGAACGTTTTCCAGATGCTGCAGGAGATACTGGTGAGCGTCACTCTCGTCACTCTCGTCACTCTCATCACTCTCGTCGCCGTTTGGTTGTCGTCCGCGTTAACCTCCAGCTAATCCTTCATCTCAGGTTGTTGAAGACCCTCTGCAGTCCCAGAGGCTCAAGTACGCCTTTGAGTCGGACAATGGCCTGTTAGGTAAGGAGGGCCGGTCCTAATCGTTGTCATTTACTGGTTTAACGTTACGACAGAAAGCATCGTAGCTTGTGAGGAAAAACTAACGCAACGCTGTCGCCTCTCAGCTTTGATGCACCAGAGCAACAATGTGGACAGCAGGCGCTGCTACCAGTGTGTGAAGTTCCTGGTCACACTAGCTCAGAAGTGAGTATGCAGAGGTTCAAGCTGATTATTATAGTTAGACAGGTGTCCTCTTTTTACAAAAAAAAAAAAAAAAAAAAGTTTAAAGACAATAGGGTAAAATTGGTAGTAGCATTCAAGTAGCATGATTTTTTTTTTTTTTTTGCTTGTAAGGAATTAGTTATTTTCCTGTGCACAGCAGCGGCTGATGGGAGCGCTACTCAACGCTTTGCAATAGAGCTGGAACAATCTATTGTATTAATAGTGATGGAATTGATTTATCAAAATAATCGACAACTGATTTAGTCATGAATTAAATATTTACAGGAGTATACAGACGCTAAAATATGCCATTTTCTGACAAAAAAAGCCAACACTAAGAACAGTAATTAAGCCAAAACTGTACAAAAAACATAAATATGTTCTACCATATTTACCATAGTTTTAGCTCATTTAAATATGTCAAATTCTCCTATTGATCACCTCCAGTTATTTATCACTTTATTGAAAAAAAAAAAGTCTATTCTCACAAGGTTTATTTAAGTATTATTTATTCAGCTGCAGGTGCATCCTGTGATGCGTTATTGCATTTTAGCCTATAAAATGTTTTATTTTCTTATTTAGAAAAAATATTAAATTATTTCTTTATTGCATTTTTTTGTTTGTTTGTTTACATATTTTTAATGGTGCATAAAATGAGATTAGGTGGTTAAATGAAAACTCTGCAGAACTTTGTGTTGCATATAGTGCGCGGTTCTTCCTCTGGCCTCATTAAAAATGACCTAAAACAATTTTAAGAGGCGTGAAGCCATAACTTTTTACAATGTCTGCACATCTTCATAAGTGTAACCAGCCACTGCTTTACTGTAGTGTTAAATAAACAGCATCCATCACGTCTATTGGCTCCATGATCGTCATCCTCCATCTTGTTTTGCTACATTAACATTAGCGTTAGCTCGTACTGAAAAAGAATCAAAATGAACCAGTGGAGGAAAAAAGTATCCACAATTGAATGAATAATGCTTTTCATTAAGTCACTAATGTCATGTTTTTTTGACGAAGAAGTTCATGGATTGTTATTATTATTATTGTTAAGTGTTTTTCAAGAAGTTCCTACAGAAACAGACCCACAGCATCACAGATCCTCCACCGTAGTTAACAGTACTTTTCCACATATTTAATCAGATCTTCCTTTACTACTTGTTACTTGTCTTGAATTATTTTATATGATACTGTATCTGAGTGTCCATTTGTTTTTTTTGTTTTTTTTTGCACAGGTGTCCTCCAGCCAAAGATTACTTCAAAGATTTGTCTGGCCACTGGAGCTGGGCCGTGCAGTGGTTGCAGAAAAAGGCAGGCTTGTTGAATCATTCTTACAGAAACGTACAATAATAGGAGCTTTTTTTTTTTTTTTTTTATTGCTCTGTTGGAATCTCTTCCATTTGTTGTGGTTTTATTCGAAGCAAACAGGAACCGAGAGGAAACTTTTACCTTAAACCAGTTGCTCCAACTCCAACTTTTGACTGATTCCTGCAGATTAAACGTCCAAATCGAAGTTTTTCTTCCCCGATCTTAAATCATTTCAGATTAGGCGAATTAAAATAACTCATAGCAACGCATCATCCAACAAGAATCTTTATCTTTAAAGATATATCTGACTCAACAGGAGCGTTTGCTTTAGTTCTGGCCAAACATTGGCATGTTTCTCTCTGTTTTGATGTGACTTATTGATGATTCATCCTATAACGAGGTAAAGCGCGGATGCAGTTAATCGCTCCTTCTGCTTCAGACTGTTGGCGCTTTGCTTCGACAGTCATAAAATGCAGTGATTAGTTTTTCAGCGTGAGCAGAGCATTAAGGAGCTGCTGCAGTCGCTCTTATGCTGTGAACTTGATTGTGACGCATAAAAAAGGCTTGGAGTTAAAGCAGAAAACCGGAGTTCATATAAACAAAGAGTGATGCATCGACTATAAAAAAAAGTTTTGCAAGACATAAACTGCAAAGACTGGTGGAGATGGTTGGAAAATGACTTCACGTCCTGATGGATTTAAAATAAGAATAAATTGCATCTTTGGAGTGGGAGAGTTTTCCTCGACCTTGATGAGCAGCAGGAATCGGGTCGGGTCAGGAGGTTCTGGTACTGATCATTTTAAATATTAGTATAAAAATGTAAACGGGGTCCTCAGATTTCAATAACGTCCTTGAAAGTGCTTGATGCTCAAACTCCAGAGTTTTGTAATAAAGCCTAATTTTGGAAAGTGTTATTTATAGTAGAAGCCAGATATTTAAAGATAATAAAATACTTTTTTCTTCACTGTCTAAAGTTAAATCAGACCAAACTTCTCTTGTTTTTGGATAGATAGAATCACCAAATTTATGGCTCAATGACAGTAAACCGATCTGGAGCATCTTTTTATTTTTTTTAATTTTTTTTCTTGAACCAGTCAGATGTACACAGAGAAAATGTCAAAACATAAAACTTTGTTATATTTTACTTTATCTTGTAGAATACAATCGCAAGATATTATAACAATCATAAATTATATAACAGTGAATAGAAACTATCTTTTTTTTAGTTAATTTGAATTGTTTTCATCTCCAAAATGTGGTTCTGAAAAAGTTTGAAAATTTACCATAAAAATCCTAGAAATGTGCTTTAATTATACTGTGGGAAAAGTGTATAAACCCCATTTAAAACATTTTATTTTAGTTTTTTATATCTTAGTTTGACTTTTGTCTAAAAGCGGTCATTTTAGATGTTTTTTTTTTTTGTTTTGTTTTGTTTTGTTTTTTTTTTTGGACTTGTCTATATTCCAGTACTTGTTTCTTAGTCATATCTATCATCTCAGTGTGATCCACAATTTAGATAAACATCCAGCAGCTGCTAATTTGCCACAACGTTGAGCATCGTGCTGCGTTTAGGTCCCACGTGTTCGCCTTTTCCGTTGAGATGATTTCTCCTTTAGCTGAAATGAAGCAGTTTTGTGTGTGAGAGAAAGAGGAAGATGTAGGAAATGTATGAAATCCTTTTCTTTTGCTCGCTGCAGATGACTGAACATTACTGGACTCCCCAGAGTAACGTCTCCAATGAGACGTCCACCAATAAAACCTTCCAGCGCACCATTTCTGCACAGGTACTCACACGCATGAACGTACAAAACCTCATCAGCAGTCACACCTGCTCTTCTGCTGCCTTGTCAAACCCACGTCTGTTTCTGTCTGTGTGTGTGTGTGTGTGTGTGTGTGTGTGTGTGTGTGTGTGTGTGTGTGTCTTAACACCTGCAGGACACCTTGGCCTACGCCACGGCATTGTTAAACGAGAAGGAGCAGTCTGGCAGCAGCAACGGCTCCGACGGCAGCCCGGCGAATGAAAACGCAGAGCGCAGCCTCCGACAGGTAGTCATCATCATCATCATCATCATCATCAACAACCCTGCCGGCTGCTCAGAGCAGCAGGGCTCTGAAAATGACTCATGCTGTGACAGCGGCTCACATTCAGCTCACACAGCCAGGAAGAAGAGGGGAAACAAAGGAATAAAAATGGCTGAGCTCACTGGCTTCAGTGGAGAGATTAGAGGAGGCAGATTGTTTCCTCCTACGGTTGTTATTAGCCGTGGACTGGAAGCCGTTTTCTTTCTTCTGACTCTTGTCAGCATGCCTACACAGGATCGTCGGGAGGTTTCTTTGTCTTCTTCTTTTGGTATGAAAAGAACACACAATGAGTGGGTTGGATTGAAATTATAATCCTGGTGTCACTGCCTAGCTCATGGAGGCTTTATAATTGTTTTTCAGTTCTTGCCTTCAGAAATAGAAAAACGTATCCGCGCTCCTGGAAGTTTTTAAGTTTTATTGGGGTTTGACGTGAAAGCGACACAAAGCAGTGCACTGATGTGAAGTGGAAGGAACGCGTCGGGTGATTTTCAAAGGCAACTCGTCGCTGAGCCTGACACGGATAATTAATTGCATGATCGATTAAAATGAGCTCAATAATTTCCGTCCTGATGAGTCACGATTTTTGAAGGGCAGTTTTATTTACAGAGACTACAGAATCCGTTTTACTTGTGGTTTTTGGTTGGTGGGGTTTTTATTTCCGTTTTATTTTTTTGTTGTTGTCTTTTAATTTGAATATTTGACATGTTTTGTTCAAGATTAGAGTTTATTAGTCTGAGAGGGCAAACTTGCATTATTATGCTATGGTTAATGTATTACTAGAAAATGGCCTCGAAACAATATTATCATTTATCGCAAAACTTTCTGGGACGATTTATCGTCTGGTGAAATTTATTGTAATAGGCCTTGTAGTTGCGTTATTATGCCATTGTTCATATATTACTTGAAAATTGTCTCAAAATAACAATATTATCCTTTTATCGCAATAATTTCTGGGGCTTTTCATTGTCTGGTAGAATTTTTTAGTGTGTCAGACCTCGTTGCACTTTAATTAGAATTAGAGTAAAGCGGATTTTCAGGTCATGCCACAACACTACAATTCTTGGCTGTAAATTTGTGAGATGTTACAGACAACCCTTAATCAACCTGCTCTTCATGAGATTGTCATACAACAAGAGTATGACAGAGGCTTATTCAGTATCGCTGTAAAACAGACTGCTACAGGAAATCCTTCCTGCCCAGAACTACTAGCATCACTTTGAAAAACCTGAGATAATGAGCTACAGCATTTTAATTTTGTGATAAACTATTTTTTAAATTTAAATTAAACATTTCAAGATTCTACCTCACTGTCAGGTTCTACTTCAATCAGTTTCTACAGAACTCCAATAAAATATTTTAAAGTTGCAGCTGCAGAAATGAACAAATAAAACGTATGAATGCTTTATCGAGACAAGTTCTGTGAATACGTTACATTTCTGCCTCCTTCTCTCCCGCAGGGCTCAGAGTCTCCCATGATGCTCGGCGATTCAAAGAGCGATCTAGAAGACGTGGACTCTTAACTCCTCTGGCTGGCGGGATGACTCCGGCGGCGGGGCGGCGTCACAGGCTCCAGGCGGCCGGGTCGGAACGGCCTGTGCTGTACCTCTGATTGGACAGGACTCTCGGAACTCCACAGGAAGCCAATCAGGACACTTTTATCTCGGTCGCCAGGGCAACCAAGCAGCTGCAAATAAATCATGAATTACTTCCTGGCCAAGGCGACAAATTATCATTAAAACGGGGCACCACAGCAATCGAGTCGGGAAAATCGCGCTCACGGATAACTTCAGTTTATCCTTTTTTTTTTTTTTCTTTTTTCTTTTTTTTTTATAAATTCACTCGTAATGACGTGGAGTTGGAGGACGGGCTCGGGTGGTGTTTTAACGACGTTCTGCTCATGTTTGCCAATGTATTTTTTTTTTATTGTTTTTGCGACGGGCTTTACTCACGTTGTAATTAAGATTTTTTTTTTCCATATGTGTAATTTTCAGTGTAAGATAGTATTTTAAAGTCTTCTCCTCCACAGCCATGCAAAATGAAGGAGGCGTCCGCTGGCGCTGCTCTAGAGCGCGCGCCCAGAGGAACTCACAGGCGCGCGCTTGTACAGAAACACCTCCACACTCACGAGCTCCTGGGAGGACGGGGCGGGTGGGGTTCAGTATGCACTTTATAGTCCAAGCCCAGGCTATTGTGATGTACAGCAGCACGGGTCAGTTCCTCCAGAGCCACTTAGCGCAATTCTCTTCTTCTGCTTTTTTTTTTTTCTCGGTTTTAACAATGTTTGCAGTGCCACTTACTCAAGCCGCTCTCCCTGTGACTGGACCTTTGACCCCGGAGCCACAGGGGACCCCTGTGCGTGTCAGGATCAGGACAGATCTCAAACTACCAGTGCCATAGTCAGCACTCACCCCAACCCCTCACATTTTGTATTTTTCTCTGCCCGGGACAGGGAGCCTCATGTGCCGATTTTTATTTAAATTTTTTTTTTTTTTTTTTTCCATCACTACGTTTTTCATTTTTTCTTTTGGTTTTGGATCTTCAGCCTTATGCAACCTGATCTGGACAGGCCACTGGTGCCGACTGAAGGGGAAGCTCAGGAGCACTTTTTTTTTATTTTTTTATGTTTTACTGTTTTTGCTTTCAGGTGCCAATGGGTTACACATCCACAAACACACACATGCACAAGAAGAATGACTCATTCAGTTCGCTCACATATATGCACATCAGTCCTTTTCACTTCGTCGTTACCAATGCTCTGGTGGCTTTCTTGTTTTGTTTTTCCTTTTGCTTTGCCTTTCTTCGTCTGTCTGCCTTTCTAAACACTCACATGTAGCTTCTAGTGTTCACACTGCGTTACCTTCATCCTCCACCTCCCCCATCCCCCAATCATCGGGAGTCTTAAAGTGCCTTATTCTCCCGATGTACACGCCACCCTCACATGCTCAGTCAACGCCTTGCTTCATGCGCGTCTCCTGTAGGAGCGCTACAGGGCTCGCTTCATCTCCACACCTGTCCCAGTCCGAACAGGGAAAGTTCACCTCTGTGTGTCGTGATAAAGGATATTTGTGAATGTAGCTGACGGAGGGGGGGGAGGAGGTGGTGTACACAGGGTTCCGGTGATGGTAAAAAAAAAAAAAAAAAAAAAAGAAAAAATTTAAAAAAAAAATGCTGCTTCTTTTCACTCTGTTCCCAGGCAGTAGAAACTGGCGTAGTTTAGAGGAACACCTTTCCACTCAGCTAGCTTAGCAGGTCAGCTATCAGCTTTAACAGGTCAATGTTTACAGTGTGAGGACCCCACGGTATGAGGCAGCCAGGCAAACTGACATTTCTGTTGAACTCACCGATGCTCCTCTGCGGCCTAAAAGGGGAGGAAAACGCAGCTCGCGCCCCCACCACCCCTCCCTCCTCTCGGTCTCATTAGTTGTGAATGTCACGGCGTGCTTCTCCGGCACGGTTTGCATGTGTGGTGGTGAAAGTTTGTGCTTTTTTTTTTTTTTTTTTTTTTTCCCCCTCCTTCTTCATCTTCAGCGTGACGGAACAAAAAAATCAGCCCCCCGTGTTGTTTGCTGTGTGATTCGGTATCATTAGCACTTAGTGGCACGAGCGAGGCCGCTCCGACTGCGCGGCTCGTTCGCGAGGAAGCTGCGTTTGCGGTATTGTGCCAAGCGACAGCGTGGTCATGGCAACGCGGGCTGCGCCCTGCTGAGGAGTGAGTCTCGGGCCTCCTCTACACCAACACAACTATTTAAAGACAGGGCAGGTGGTTTGGAGACAAAGTCTTTTGTTTTATTGTGGGGATGCAGGGAGGGACGAGCAAGTGCGTGGGGTTGGGACTTGGCATCCATACGGGTTTTTTACTGTGTTTTCGATTTTGAGAGAGTTCACTTCCGACAACGCAGCAATCTGTAACGCATGTTAAAACTCGATTTTAATTTGTACATCAGAGTTTGATTAAGGGGAAATTTGATATAAAATAAACTGGAATGCACAACCTTTTGTAAACATAGTTTTCGTGCATGTCTGCACAACGACCTGATTCTTCATCTGATGATCGTGGAAGAAACGACGCTCAAGGTTTTATGCCTGAAGACACAAAGAGATCCTCTAAAAAGTTATGAAATTATCCAAATCTAACATCAAGTGTTCAAAACTATCCCATACTTTCCTCTCATTTTAGGCAGAAGCAACTATTCATTGGTTTGTACACTAAAGCAGACTTTTGTGCACCTACATCTGCTTTTAATTAAAACTTTTCAAATAAACACTGAACACAATCATGTTGTTATTGCTGAAAACAGATTAAATCCTTTTCAGTTTCCTTAAATTGAGCCCAAAAGAAATAAATGTGTAACGTGATTGGCTTGGTGTCGATAAGGAAAACATGCAAAACATCTTTGACGTTTTGGATCTACAATGGTTTACACATTAATTTCCTACACTATTTTTTTTTTTTTCATTATTAAAAATACAATAAATTTACAACGAAATTTAAAAATAAATGGAAGTGTTGTGGCCTATTTAAAGTCCACACCTCAGCTCTATTGAAATGTTTCGTAACCTGCCATCTGTTCTCCTAATAAATCAAACTCCAGAAATCTCACCACCGATGATTATTAGAAGACATGTAACCAAAAAGGTAAAATTACTCCAGCTGACTTTCTTGTAAACAGTTAAACATCCAGACTTGATTTCATTTCAGTTTTCAAACTCTAAAGACCATTCCTGTGTTTTATATCAGAACCTGTGACAAAGTGACATCTTGTCAGTAGCATTTTTTCCCGGCTCCCAACGCGAGAACCGAATACATAAAAGGAAAACGAACATCACAGCGGCGGCGATGACAATCAATCAATCAGTGCAACCGTCTGATGGAGCCGTGATCAAGACCCTGCTGAGTCACATCTGGAAACCAACACCGCTGGATTCAGGTGGCACCGATTCCTCCTGCAGCTAATGTTGAGTTTCATGTTGCACCGTGGGAGGGGGAAAAAAACTGCAATTATGGATTGTTTGGCAGATTTTTCTCAGAACCTTTCTTTTGTTCGTTAGCCTGAATTTTGGTTTCCAAAACTTCTGAATCACCCAGAAGAGTTCAGGAACAATCAAAGTAAAGACGTTTGGCCGATGCTACGCTGTCACTCAGACCTACAGGCACAAACCAACCAAAAAAGGTGAGTTAAAGGGGAAGTATTATGAAACATTAACTTTTGGAGCTTTACATCATGTTATGATGTTATTCCCTCGTCAAAAACATATCTGGAGAGTCGCTTTGATTCTTTTTTGCATGTTTGAGAAATCATTTAGTCTCCCATGGCAACCTTTCAGCTGTGCAAAGCGTCTGGGTGGACCTAGCTCCGCCTTTGAGGACGGAGCTCCTCAGAGGTGACCCCCACTCAGCTCCTTCAGACTAGCCAGCAGCAATAAGCAAACACCTGGTGGAGCTACTTCTCAATGCAACGTTGGTAAAAAAAAAAAAAAAACTTAAGTAAATTGTATTATTATCAAATATTATACTTTTATAATGTTCTTGCTTTATGTACTCTTATTTGTTTAGTCATAGCTTTTAAGAAATGTTCCTGTATTGTTAATCGCTCTGATTTCCTTTCTCAGAGGGCCTCTCTGAAGAAGAGCAGTGACAGCAGCTCTTTACAGAACGCCCTGCTTTTTGACCTGTTAGCTGTAAAACCTTCGCCGTGAAGACATACAACTTGCTCTGTTTGACCCTGGGTCAGGAACTGGATAATCTAGTGCAAGATAGATTGTGTTGTTAGTTAGTGATAATCATTGGCGCTGTAACTGTGTGATGAAGTGTTTTTTTCCCCCTCCCTTTAGAGTTACAGCACTCTCTGTGATTAGGGATCCTAAATACAATAAAAAGTGAGGGGCAGGCAAATGTGCTTTCAGAACGGTAGGACATTTGTAACTGAAAGCACATCTCTGTCTGTTCTCCTCGCGAGTATTCAGAATCTCTGCCACTCTTGTCTTTCCTGCGTTTATTTAACAGGCGTCAACTCTGACAAAAACATTGTTAAAAGGTTAATAAGTGTCATGTGCTGTGTTGGGCACGGACAGACTGTACGTCAGGTACATCATGATTGTTTATTATGCTTGTTCAGTACAAAGATACAAAAAAATATCAGGATATATTTATTCTTTAAACCTGTATCTCCCAGACGGTTTGAAGACGGCTAACAAGACAATGTGGAGCACGTTTCGACTTGATCATATGGCTGTAATCGACAGCTTTGCAGAAGTTTACACTTTACGGTAGGTGCATTAAAGTGTCTCCACGGGGTGAAGGAGCTCAGAGAGAAGACGGATGACACACTGTGATCAGTTAGGAGTTGGAGCAGGGGGGTCTGGCGGTGTGACACGGCAGCAGACGGCTACGCCCGCCGCCTCCGCGTCCCCCACGCGGCGGATCCGGCAGCCGCTGCCCTCAGGCACTGACCCGACGACGGCAGAGCCCTTGGAGACGGCGCTGCAGTCTGTCACAGTCCAGCCCGAGGGACAGGACACCTCAACCTGCGAGAAGAAATCCAGGACACCCGAGGGGTTAAAGAGGCATCTGGGGGCGGACGGGGGGAGAGGGAGGGAGAGGATCGTTACATTTCTCCAGATTAATAAAACACCTGGTCTTTGTCAGACGACGTGGTTTCCAGCAGACGGCACTGAAGAGACGGAGCGTGGCAGCAGACTGCGTGCGACGTGACTCCGTCCTTCACCGAGCAACTCCTCCCGGCGCCGCCGCGATGAGGACGGGAGTCGGATGAGATCTCGGCCACGGACCAACTGGTGCACCCTGAGGAGAAAGAAGAGCATTAAAAGGATGGAGCCCATTTTCCTCCCAGAAATCATCTGGAAAGAAAAACCAAAACAAACAATTCGGTCTGAGATTAAAAACCATTGGAGGATACTGGCATGACATTTGAAGCCTCCTTTTTACACTTCATACAGCTGGCATTTATCCTGCCCAGGAGTGTGTGTGTGTGTTTTTTCTCTCCTTTGACTGATTACCATGGTAACATAATTGACCTAGAAGCTGCTGTGTATTGCAAATTGAAAAGCTTCCACATATATCTGAGGAGCATGTTTCACTGTGTGGCTCTTTCTGTCTGGTTCACGTCGTAACGGTTTGATTTGACTGCAGTGTGTTTCGTCGCCTCGCTATAGTCACACAGTAACTGGGAAAAAAAAAATCATCCTTGAACTTCCCTGCATTTTGTCTTACTGCAAACACAAACCTCAGCCAGTGTCATTGGGGTTTTGTGTGATTGACCAACACAAAGTAGCGTGTAAATGTGCAGTAGAAGCAAAAAAAAAAAGTTTTCCAAATGAAAATCTTAAATGTGTGGCTTGCATTTATATTCGTCTTCAGATCTGTGAGCAGCAATTTGTTGGGATTTAGGTTTGCCACTATGTCATATCAACATACTTTATTACTTTATACTCACCATATTTTTACTAATTCTGCTGGAAAATGAATCTCTCACCAAGTTTTTTTTTTTTTACCATTTCCTTCTCATTAGAGTTGCTCTATGTTTAGCTAAATCCACCTGCAGAAGAAAAGTATCTCCACACGCTGGTGTTATCTGTAGCTTTTTTCTCTACACATGGCATCTTGCATGCCGATCAAAAGGTTCAATTTTGGTTTCACCTTCTTCTGTGTCCTCTACATGGTTTGTAGCAAACTGCAACCAGACTTCGGACAGTTCTAATTATGCCCGACTCTACCAACAAAGTATTTTTTTTGTTTGTTTGTTTTTGTTTATTGTAACCAGTAGCAGCTGATTGGCATCCACAAAGCTCAACTGTGACCCCAAATCCTCCAAAAATTGCACTGCAAAAACACAAAGTATTACCAGGTATTTTTGGTAGCTTCAAATGCAAATATCGTAAGACAACGCTAACTTAAAAGTAACTTTTCAGCGAGAAATATGAGCTTGGTTTAAGTCAATAATTCCTTGTTATAATGAAGTAATCTGCCAGTAGAGTAAAACATTTTAACGTCTTGTTCCACTAGCACATTTTTTAAACATTTTTTCATCATTATTAAGGAATTACTAATTAAAACAAACTCCTACAACTTGATGAAAAGTTACTTGTGAGCTAGTAAGATATTTGCATTAGAAATTAGACCAAAATACTTGGTAAGATCTTGTGTTTTTGCAGTGGAAAGCCATGCATTTTTTTCCGCAAATAATTTAGAGCTATATTGGTCTATCTTAGAAAAATTAGAAACATGAAAATCACTTCGTGCCAGTGACAAAACCCCCCAAAACGTTTTGCTTGCTATCACTTGGCCTGAAGAAAGGCCGATTTGCTTGTTGCTAGTCTGCCGCTGGCTGGTCATGCTCCTTACCTGTGAGGTGGTGCTGTGGGCCCGCACACTGAGCGTCCCGCCCGGGCCCGGGGCTCGCGTGGGCGCGGCACTGCAGACCACCCACCACACAGCAGCGGGCCACTGCGAACACCCCGTTGCCTGTCAGCCCATTGTAGGCGACGCACTCCATGCGTCCGTTGCTCTCCTGCGAGACCAAGGAGACGCGGCTTCAACCCGCTGCGTCCGTGGAGTTTCTGTCAGTTTGGGTTGCGAGTGAACTCACAGTGAGCGTTTCTCCCACGCGGGCGCCGTCAGGAGCGTAGCTGCTGCAGCCCATCATTTCCTCCCCGACGCAACAGCGGCTCACGGCCGTGTCCGCACTCGACAGGCCTGACCTTTCTGACCACACTGAGCGGCACAGGAGCTCGCCACCTGCACGGGGAAATAGGACAAACCTGGTCTCAGTTGCACAAGTTGGGGGGACAGTGGGGAGAACTGTGCAAAGCTGAGGTCGGGAAGTCACTAACTTGGTGTTGGGTTGTTGGCGGGAGGCATGGCTGCCACCAGGTTTGGAGTTGTGAGACGATGCGTTTCAGACAGGGACAGGAAGTTAATTGTGTTGCTAACGGAGTAATGCAGCATCACCTGCAGGACCTGCACCGGGGAGGCAATCTGATTGGAGGACAGGATCACAGCTGCTATACCTACACACACAAAAACAGACCAAAGTAGAGGTGTGCCATACTGTAGACAGGGCCCGTATCGCCCATAACGATACTGATACCGATACTTTTTTTTATTAAAGATTGATATATCATCAAATGACTGACATTTAGTTGTTTTCATGTTTTGTTTTTGTTCTCTGTCCAAACTCTGTCCCAGGCTTGAACAAAATAATTCAAATTTTGTATCCACAAAATACTTTAATAACATATAAAGATCTAAATAAACTGCAGAAAATATAATTTTTTGAGGTAGAGCTGAGAAACTACAATCCAAAAATAAAAAATCTGAAGATGTAATCTGAACCAAATTATCAATTTTACCATGCTAATATCGATCCGATACTAATACCGACTTGGCATTGATATATTGATATTGTTTGATTGATCCGCCCATCTCCAGACCAAAATATAAAACATTATAACTCGGTTGTCTGTCATAGCGGCTGTTTGTGTCGAGGCCCACCGGCAGCGTGAGCGGCGGCCTGCGACGTCCCGCTCTGTGAGGTGAAGCAGGTGCTGCAGTCGCTGCTGGCGCTAACGATGTCATCACCGGGCGCAAACAGATCAACGCAGCGGCCGAAGTTGGTGCCCCCTGCTCCTTGCGACATGAGCTGGTCCTCAGAGTTCACAGCCCCTACAGTGATGACCTGCACAGACGGATGGGGGTTAGAGGTCACGATCCGGCCTGTGCCTGCTCCATTAAGCGTGTTCCCCTTCGACCTCAGGTTCTGAAGCGGGCGAATAGAGGCAAGCGTCTTCTCTGTAGTTCCCCGCGGCAGCGACGACGGCGGCTCCGTGGGCCACCGTCTCTCTGCACGCTGCATTCAGCGACCGGCTGAAGCCGCCGATGAAGGGCAGCAAGACAACCGCCACGTCCACGGGGCGCGCCAGCAAGGTCGCTCGGATAAACTCCAGCCCTGAACAGAAAGCGAAAAGACCAACAAAGGTGAGTCCAGGTCCACTTCTTTAACTTTTTCATGTCACAACCACAAAGTACAGTGTGGCGTTTTATTAGGATTTTCATGTTTGATTGTTTGTGGAATATTTTGCTGCAGTTACAGCAGATTGGTCTTAACTGTGTGTTTACCAACTGAAACTTTACCCATTCGGTTTTGGAAAAAAGCTCAAGCTCAGTCGGATCGGACAGATAACATTTATGTCCGGACTTGGACTGGACCATTCTAATACATGAATACGATTTGATCTAAACTTTTTAAATTGTGAGTGGTCTCAAGTCTTTTGTCACCTTTGGCAGGTTTTCTTCCTTGTATTTCACTCCATCCATCATCCATTCAACTCCGACCAACTTCTCGTCAGACCGGAGAGAAATCACATGTGGTGTATCCCAAGGTTCAGTACTAGGGCCCCTCCTATTTTATATCTAAATACTCTTGCTAGCTCCGTTTTGAACAAGTAATAAGAAACCATAACTATAATGCAGATGGTACATGTCTCTACATTATGTTGTCACCAGGTGAACCCTTTCAAATACTGAACAGAAGAAATCAAACAGAAGGGGAAAAAGGAAAAAGGTGAAAGAGAAAAAAAAGAAATGCATGTTTTACCATGGGAATGGTGTGCTAGAGGTTTGGTGCTGAGTTAATTTTCCCTTTGAACATGGTGTGTTACCAAAACCAGATCACTTCTGGTCTCATCTAATCCGCGCTCTTTCTTCCTCCAATATTTTCTAATAAAACTACCCAACTGTATTTAGGAGGTTAAAATAAAGGGGCTGAATACAAAATGTATGCCACACTTTTCAGATTTTTGAAAGTTGCAACAAACTTTAGAAAATATCCACCATTTAAAACGCATTGAGGTTGTCTGGTTGTAACTCGAAATAACTTTGAAATAAAAAATAAAAAAGAAGAAGAAGTTATCTTTTTAGATGCGATCCTGTCTGGTTCTAACAGTGAAGCCACCCGACCTGCCAGAGCTCCGGAGACGGTTCCTTTCCCCTGACAGTTCAGCACACGGACCAGGTTAACGCCTGCACCTCGAGCAACACCCGAATCCGATCCGGTCACCACACCAGCCAAATGTGTGCCGTGACCGTCACACTGACTGGCCTGCAAGAAGGAGGAGAAGAAGAAGGAGAAGAAGCTGAGCATGGCAGCGGGGCGGAGGTCAGTGTGAAGGCTTTGTTGATGAGCTGCTGTTAACAAACCTGCCTATGAACTCTGACCCCGTCCTCCTCAGGAACGTTATTAAAGTCTGTGATGAGAACTCGTCCTTCAACCTCTCTGTGGGAGCTCTGCACGCTGCCATCCATCAGGTACACCTCCGCCATCTCTCCATCATCTGTAGAGGACGACACGTGAAGAAGGCGGGTTGAGTTAAAGCAGCGGTGTATGCAGATAGACGACGACAGAGCTGGAGGACAGACGGACGATTTAACTCTACGGTGGACATAAATTAGTCTAGTCTAGTCTTTTTTTTCCATAAATTAGCTTGGTTCTTGTGATTTAAAAAAAATTAATTTCTTTTTTGTGGCTTTTAAGCTGAAAACAAGGATAAATGAAAACTTAGCTGAAATAATATAGTTAAGAGTGCGCGCACACACACACACACACACACACACCATGTTAAATAAGAATCAGTTCCGACCTTCCACCGTTAAAGTGCCTCTGATTAACCCTAATTGAGGTTTTCCTGATATTTTCTTCAGT